GTTTGCTCCACTTTAGGATCAACATTATATTCAGAACACAATCTTTTAAATGTAGAAGGATGTGGCAAAGTAACATATGCACTATTTCTTAAAAATTTATAGCAATATGGAGAAATTGAAAACATCAAACTTGAGATCAAAACTATACCTATTATTATTTTTATGCAAAAAATGAGTAATGTCAGCTCTGCTCAAATATAAACTGAACTACTTTTCTTTTTATGTTCAGGGGCATTTTTTTTTTAATTCACGAAGGCCTTGAGTTACGAATAAGAAATTTTTAAAGTTGTTTTCATTATTACCACCTTTAATTTTTGCAACTTCTTTAAGCAATGAACAGAGATTATGCACATCATTAGTTTTTAAAGAGAATTCATGGTTACTAATTTTTTTAATGGAATATCTTTAAAATATGCTTCCACTTGCAGATCATCATGGATAACGACTGATGCAGATATAAAAGGAACAAATTCTGTGCTGGATTTGCTCCTTTTATATCTGCATCAGTCGTTATCCATGGATAAAAAATATACTATTTTCTTTAATCACAACTGTTAAATCATCAGGTATCTTAACAGTTTTTAGACATGATGAAAGCTTAATCAGATTATTATAATTACCTAATTACTAATTTTAAAGTAATAAAAGCAGGATTTCTAGTAATTTATATTTTAACAAAACAGGTAATAGCAAGCATATGCGTGTTTGTCTCCCACTCGGGAAGGGGGGGAAGAAAAGGATTCTCTTAGTGACATAAGTTTTAATAATATTTGAATTTTCATGCATTAGGAATTAAAATTATTTCTTGTTTTACGCAAAACTGTGCACTTTATATTACAATTTAAAAAAAACTATAAGCATATTTATTGCCTTCACAATTTCTTTAGAAAAACTTTTAAAACCAAAATATATTAAATATTAAGCTAAATAATTTCATTTGCTGCCATATACGTATGAAGTTAAAAGTTCCAAGTTGTAAAATTAATCAAAAAGTAAAAAATTGGACATTTTAAAAAGTAAGTGAATATTTAGCATGCAATTCGATACATAATTATTAACCATACAATTCGATACATAATTATTAACTATACAATTCGATACATAATTATACTAATTGATACGTAATTACACAATATTATACACAATGTATTCTATAAAAATGAAATTCCTTAATATTAACGTATCCATTCTTTTAAATGTAGAAGCAAATACCTTAATAAATTTAAAGTTGGGCTTAACTTACCCGAGAATACTTCGAAATGGTAAAATTTTCTCGCGGTATCGATTTGAACCATCTATGTAATACATCTTGTTGCCTAGGAAATCTGTATACTGATACTTTAGAACCATCACAATAATTTTCTCGGCATAACGGCACATAGCACTTTAAAGGCATGATTGAAATCGAAAAAAAATATCAATATCAAATTAAGGCGACATGGTTCACGCGCCTTCTCACGACCAAGGACGAATTTCCCCTAACTTGCTAATGTCATCTAGATGACCTTGGTTTAGGGGCAATTTTTCACACCCCATTGAGAAGGCCAACAGTTTGTGACGTCACTAAACTACGAGCCTTCAGTAGGTAGGCTTGTGTTTAAGAAGGTGTTGGATGAGGCCATCATGAACTGAAATAACATGCCGAGGCCGGCCCGCACAAGTGGCCAAACTACAAGTATATAATAATAACTTATGTTATATACCAGTCCAATGTTAAACTGCCAGTAATGTGCACAAAGGTTGTCCTCTGTCGGAAGAACATGCTACCCAAACCATAAATCCCGGTGTGACAATCAACAGTATAAGCTGGCTGGTGACGTTCTCCGGGAAGCCGATACACATGTCTTCGATTGTCATTCTTCCATAAACAAAATCGGGATTCTTCTGAAAACAATACCTGATGTCATTCATTCCTCCATTGGCGATTAGCATTGATGCTAGGCCAGATAGGCAGAGCTGTGTCGAGTGGTTAAAGGAATCTCAGTGGCTGGCTGCCATCCACGCATCCTTTCCTCATGCTACATGTTACGAATGGTTTGGCAGGAGAGATGGATGCTACTTCTTATAGTGATAGGTAGGCTTGAATATGATTTGTCGTGGTGAATGGGTCCTTATGAAACATTTGCCAAATTTGAATATCGGTGCAAACTGACGTGCACCTGGACTGCCTCTTTGGCATGTTCTCAAATAGTCTGTACATTGTTCCACACATTACTGAACTGTACTTATGTCCCACCCAGTGGCGGCTCGTGGCTAAAATTAGTGGGGGTGCTGTTCCAAAAAATTTAACCTTTGTTTTAAAATTGTCTAAAAGGAATATGAAAAGAAAATTTATTTTGAAACTTCATGAAATCTTACAAGAAAAAAATTAAACATTTCTTAATTACTTTAACCAAAATTGTTACAGTTCAATCTTTGTCTATTCATTCAAAAACGAAATCCATTTTTCTTGTTTTAATTTGTGCGAAAAGATCAATAATTTTCTCCTTCATCTCTGGATGACAACTGAGGAAATTTTTCCTTATTGAAATCAATGCAAGAGCATTTAGTCTTTCCGAATTCCTAGAGCTTCTTAGAAAAGTTTTCATTCTTTTCAATGTTGAAAAGCAGCGTTCTGCCTCTGATATAGTCATGGGAACTCTCAAGAGAATTTTTATCAGTTTTGTAATTTCACTAAGAACATCATCTAGATTATTTTCAAAGATAAATTTCAGTAGCTCAATTAATTTGCAGTATTCAGACCTACAAGAGAATACTTTTAGCTCAGTTTCAAGCTTTTTTTTTTGGTCAATCATTGGATATGCTTCAGTGGTCAGTACTATTTCTTCTGTAGAATGTTCATTCTTAAAACTAGCGAAGCATTTGTTTAACAATTTAGCAGCTGCTAAGTGTTTAGTGGAAGAATATCTGTGCATTATATCAATTCAATACATAGTATAAAGTCGCATAATCCTTAGCTTCTGCCATCAGTGTCTTTCGAAAATTCTCACAGTACTTTGAGTTTCTTAATTCTAAAAAAGCAGTTTTGAAATTTGTTATATATCCGTTAACTTTAAACACACTAATTTCTCTGGATTGCATTTAGTTGTATATTATTTTAACATGAGGCATTTGATAAAAAAGCTCTAACCAAAACTTGAAATTATCACCATTTAGATATTTTATAATTCTTGTTGCTTTTGCAATAGGAACAATTGTTTCATTTGTTTTTGTTGTTTTAAAGGTTGCAAATTTTCATGAACTCTGTTTATGGTCTGTATGATGAAGTTCCACCTTGTGGAGAAATACCACACGCGTGGAGTAAAAAGAAATCATGTTTCCAACAACATGCCAGAATTTCGGCACTGCAAGAGCGACAGTGCTATTCTCTCTGCCTGCCTTGCGTGCTGCTTTCTATGCGCGCATGCGCAGAACTGCCAAATACTATGTCACTGGAACTGTGAAGCGTGCACAGTTCCAAAGACTTTCGTACCTTTCTCACAAAGTGGGGGATGGCTACTGACATTAAGCATAAGGATTATGTATTGCAAAAGTATAAAGAATTAAAGACTAAAGGGCACATTATATTAAATATTAAAAATAATAACTGGAACAATCTAAGCGTATGCAGTTCTAGGATATATCCTCGTTCTTCGGGCGGTAACTGTTGCTACCTCCAAGGCATTTTCTACCTTTATTCTATAGTTTTGTTATAACAATCTGTCATTGACAGCATATACAGAGCAAGCCAGCTACTGGCTTTTATAGCCTGAAACTGATAACCATGTGACCAGATGCACGTGTGAATTTAATCATTTGCGTATGTCTGCAATATTACTGATGCTGTTCTTTTTAACATCTCTACAAAACATTCCTTCGTGGTATCACAATTTCATGTTTGGCAATTGTACATAAATTTAGAAGTATTTTGAGTAGTACTCTGTTACCAAACTTAAGTGTTATTAGTTTTCCATTACAGAATAGCTAATCTTAAGTAGTTAAGTAATTTTAAAATATAATTATCACTTTTTACTAAACTTTTTTTCACTTAATTTGGGTTATATTCCTATTTTTGGAAATCGGCATCTAAAATTGTAAAACATTGGTAATTATTTCAAATGATACAACATAGCAACAAAATGCATTTGTTGTTGGTGGTGGTCAGTGTGCATAGTTCATCACCGGGCGACTAAATTATACACACAAGAAGTTTCAGATTTTATTCTTGCCACATTGGGCTTTTTATAACTTTTCTGTGTATAGTTTAAATGTTAATTTCCCAAAATCCTTTTTAAAAGCTTCTGTATTCTTTTACTTTGCTGTAAATAATCAGTGCAGTTTAATTTTTCTTTTGCGACTTCTCAAGATGAATTTTTCTTAGTTTTCTTTCTTCTTAGAGGTGATAAATATTTTAGTTTTCTTTGCGTAGTACCAATTAAATTTTCAGTATTCTTTTTGACACTTTTCATATTTAATATTCAGTGATTGGGACATCTTTAAGTGGTATTTTAGCAAAAGGAAATATTTTATGGCATTTAATAAAAATAAATATGAGAATCTTTGTTATTAATTTTTTTGCTGGAGGATTCAGCAATTTTATCTGTGTGAGATGTTATGATTGTAATTAATGGCTATTAATTGCCAGAATGCTTTATTTATACAATTAACTTATGTTCAAAAGTCTTGACAGTGTTTACCCTTTTAGTCGAGTTATCTTCAGCATGATTGTTTCTATGGCAGACTTGGTATTGATGATTAGTATATTTGATTATCAATGAGGAGGAAAATTTTGCATTTAATTTTTGTACAATTTATCAATTAAAAATTGAGAAGTTTACAGTTCTTAAATGTTATTCTTGGAGAACATGAAATGTAATGAAAGCTATGAAAATGTAATTTAATTTTTTTAATTGATCAACTAGAATAAGATCTTTTAATGTAACATTTCAGAATGCAAGTGCTTTCAAATTGATATATGTAAGGATCTTCCATGTTTCTTAAAAAATTTTCCTTTTTGCTAGGTGTCCTGAGAGCTCCAAGATCAAACAGAAGATGTTGTACTCTAGTAGCTATGATGCTTTGAAGAAGGCACTAGTGGGTGTATACAAATACGTCCAGGCGTGTGACTTTGAAGAAGCCAGTCAAGAAGCAATTGAGGATGCTTTCAGGAAAGGCAAATAGGATCACCCATTAAACATCAGTCTTTATGGTACAAGAGGAGCGATTTATCGCATTGCCTCTTGGCACTTTAAAGTGATCCCTCTTCCATGCTTCTGTTTTCAAAAGATGTGACTGGGATGCTCAGTGCAACATCGTATTCAGTATAAGGAAAAAATTCGGGAAGTGCTTGTAGAGCATGTTGATATATATTATTTACTGTACTGTATTTTTCATGCGACTATTAATATTAATGTGAAACATTTGTAGAAAAGTTCCTTTTTTTTTTTCTCTTTCTAACTAGATATTGGCAGTCATAGGAAAATCACATGGCTCTTCTGTTTGCTACAAAAATTTTTAAGTGAACTAATCTTTCGTATTTAAGAATTTTCTCGCATTGTTTGTAACTTAAGAAATGTGAAAATTTATCTGAAATTGTTAGTCACCTGGTTCCATTGCTGTGCAAACACTTCCGGTGTCTACATGAATAATTTATGTCATATCGTTTCCCTGTGTTTTTCATATGACTGTATTTGTATGTAAGCACTAAAAATAAAATAAACTTGATTTTTTTCAGCGAGCTTTCAAATGACTTGTGTCAGCTTCACTTCTTTCATCTTTTTTGATAAATTTATCATACATAGAGCATATTTGATACATTTTTCTCAGTAGCATGTAGTTAGTTTTATATTCACAGATTTCTTTAAATAAACTGGGATACAAAATTTTTATAATGTGACATTACGCTCATTATGCAGAATAAAGGTGAATACTTTCTTGCATATGGTTTTGATTTTATAAAATGTATTTTGGAATGAACCGAGGCAAATGGCATTTTAAATGTTTATATTGAATATGTCGATCATACTTATTCAGCAGAAAAATATTTGAAAAGCTACTATAATTTAATGAAAAGAAAGCCTATTAATATTTTTTATTTAATAAATTTGTTTTGTTCCTGTATTTTTAAAATGAATTTTTTTCTCTCTTAAAATATGTGAATGCTGCAAGAAAGTTGTATAATTTTGGGTATTTGTTAATAATTCACTCAGCATTTTAAATCTTCTGTTAAAGTTGATGAAACAGAAGCACAAGCATTCTTACTAAAATTTCTGCATTGAAGTCTAACAGTATTTGAACAATTTTTATTGGTTGAATATAAAAATAAATTTATATAAAAAATTAAAATTATAAATCATTGAAATTTTGTTCATCTGAATGTTTGTAAATCATAAGTTTTGCTGTTGAGTTTTAAATTATGTTATATTTGTAAAGTTATTCTTGACTCTTAATTTAAATCTGCGAAATAAATTCTAAGATATATATGTTGTGTCATTGTTAGAATTATCTTTTTATTTATTGTGTGATAAATAGCTAGGTGATACAAAAACTCATTGTTAACTACAATATAAAAGATAATTTTTAGTAAAACTGAAGTCATTTTCAGGAATGTAAGGAGTGATGTATTAAGAGAGGTACATTTGAGTTGATCTTAATAAATACTTCAGTGGTATTTATAGCCTTCTCGAAACTTTGTGTAAATTTTAAGTGTCGTGACATTTTCTGCAGTTTGTCAAAAAATTTGTGTCGTTCATAATATTCGGGAATATTATTAGTGTACATTATAAGGCTTTAAAATTAATATATTTGAATTTGTGTACATATTAATAAAGATACTTCTTATTCTTTCTTCAAATGCAGTTTTGGTGACTACAGGAAACTACATTTGAGACTTCTCATTTTAAAAATTCTTCCTCTCCAAGGTTTTTAATGATCATGGGCTGTATTAATTTTTTATAAGCCAAGTGAAATATTGGCAAGTTGTGTACCTCTCCTCCACCTATTTTAAAAACCAGATTGTAAATATTTTTAGGCCTTTGAATAAAGGTATTATGAAGATTAAAAATTCTTAACTAACATAAATTGGAATGCTTTTTAATGTGTAAAAAATGTTTCCCATTATCAGAACTTGTGTAATTCATGTAGAACTCCAGTGATTTATTGTATGAAATTTAATCTTTTAAAATATCTTTCCTCAGAGATGACTACAGTATTGAATACCATGAGCATATGGTTCTGTAATCATGTTAGTCGCTTAAAAAGCATTTGTAAATGTTTTTAGCAAAAACTGAAATTTCCCATTACTTTCAGTTGAAGTGAGAACATTTAGTTTTTGTTTAGTTTTCCTTTCCTAATCAAAGTTCTAAGTTGTGCTAATGTAAAATCTATAAGTATTTTTAAATGCATCAATATAAATTTATTGCAGTATGCAAACTTCTCTAATGGGTGGAGGGGTTTATGGGATATCTTTGATAAATGTTAACATCTTTTAATTTCCATCCTAAAAATTCGCGACATTTTATATTTAATGCAATAATCGTTTTTATAAAATTTGTCTGTAAATAAAATCCTTTCTATGAAAATAGTACGTATATTATGTAATATTTGATACGTATAGTAGGAACTGCGAAATAATTATCTTTATGTAAAATGTTTTATCATGGACAAACAAAAAGGAGAGAGATTATTTCAGGATGTGGTGAAAGAGTATTCATGTATCGAACATGGTTAACAAATCGATATGTACTTTATGTGTAGATGTAGCTACTGCCAAAATTTGCAAATCTGAGTGAGTTTTTCAAAGCTTAAAAATGTAAGTAAAATGTCAAACGTGTATTAAATTTTGGAAAATAAATTAGTTTTGTTACCAGACATGATCATGCTACATCTGTCAGCTTTGTTAGAGCTGTTAGCATTGGTATCAAGGGATATGTAAATAAAGTGCAAGTATCAAAATCTATGAATAAAATGGATTTTGATACTTGCATTTGATTTACATATGCTCTCAGAATTTAAATGATATTGTAGATTAGTTCTCAGCAATAATTAATCATTTATTTGTTTGCATTAAATTTCATTTAAATTTAATTAACTTTGAATTTGCGAATAGAGAATGTTAAATTCAAATTTCATTCCTTGCAGCAATGGTGCAAGATAATTATTTAAATTAAATTTAACTTTAGTATTTATTCTTTTGAAACCCTGTACATATATATATTAGTTTCACTTTTATGTGAATGTTTATACAGTGGTGGCCAAAATTGGGGACACTTTTGGAAATTTTTATGTTTTTGAACTTTGTATGCTTATAGAAAATGTTACGTTCCGCAAAATGCAAACTTGTATATATCATAAAGAGAATTTATTACTGAATTCAATACAAAACACAAAATTCAATTATTTGCAATACAAAAAAAGTTATATGTACTTTAATATAAATAAAAAGTACAGTTATGAAGTGGTTTGTAATGTTTAGCTTTCCTGGCCAATCCCTGTTCTTGTTCTGAGAACCAATCAAATGTTAGTAACTGCCAGTAGAAGCTGACATCATGTTTACACTTGAAACAATTCATTATTTTGCTTTGTTCTGTAGGAGGAGGACCTGTTTCTTATACACTGCAATTACAAGTAGGAATTTTTGTAAAAATTTTTAATATTTAGTCAAGAAGCAATGACATCAAATAAAAGAGTAGATTGGACACCTAGAAAGAGATCTAATATTATTGTGTTACGAGAAAGTGGTCTTTCCTATGCTGAAATTGCAAGGCAGGTGAGTGTTTTGACATCTGGAGTCCGAAAGTTTTGTTTACGATATCAGGAGACAAATTCAATAAAAAAAACAAAGAAGGAAAAGGCCGAAAAAGGTGCACCACATCTATTGATGACAGAAGAATAAAAAGACGGTGTCTCCAAGGTAGAAAAATGTCATCAGCGGCTGTCAGAAGTTATCTGAATGATGCTGGTGTTTCTGTCAGTTCAAGAACAATCAGGAGAAGATTAACAGATGTTGGACTGAGAGTTAGAATTCCATGAAAAAAGCCTCATCTTAATTTTCAGCAACGAAAAAAATGACTACAGTGGGTAAAGGAACGCATTAATTGGACAGATGATCAGTGGTCGCAAGTTATATGGAGTGATGAAACTAAGATATCGTTATTCAGTAGTGATGGGCGAAAATACGAGGGTTGGAACTTTAATAGTGAACTATTTATTTACAAGGAATACAAAAGTGATTCATGTCAGCATGTTTTACAGTCCTTCAATATAGTCGCCAGCATTGTGTACAACCCGTTTCCAACGATGTGGAAGTTGCAGAATACCTGTAGCAGCACCTGTTTTGTTGATAGTTTGAATGGACCGGTTTACTGCCGCAAGAATCTCGGGAACAGTTTGGAAGCGAGTGCCTTCATCTTAGGAATTAAGTCATAGTCACAAGGGCCTTAGATCTGGGGAGTATGGTGGATGGTAAAACACTTCCCAGCCCCATTGCTTGAACAAATCAATCGCAGCTCACGCTGCATGCGGCCGAGCATTGTCATGCAAAATGAGAGGAGCGTTCTGCAGAAAGTGTCGCCGTATTTTTCTCAAAGCTGGTTGGAGATTGTGCTCCAAAAATTAGCAGTAATACTGCGCACTGATGGTCTGCTGTGGAGGAATGGTATGCGTTAAGATGACACCATCACAGTCATACACGAGAATCACCATAACTTTCACATTGCTGGGGTTCTGATGAAATTTCGAACGTCGCGGTGACCCGTGATGACGCCATTCGTTTGATTGGCATTTCAGTTCTGGCTGGTACGATCGGGCCCAAGTCTCATCCAGCGTAATGATACGGCGTAAAAAAGCATCTCCTTCGCGCTCATACCGCTCCAAGTGGGTTCGGGCAGCATCGTATTATAGCCATTTCTGCATTTCCGTCAATTGATGTGGAACCCATCGTGAAGCAATTTTTCTCATGGACAGGCGTTCCTTCAGAATGTGCTGCACAGTCGTATGCGCTAATCCTGTTTGTCCGGCCAGCTGACGAATCGTTTGGTGGCGATCACTGTCCATTAGTGCGGCAACAGCTTGCACGTCTGCATTGCTGACACTCGGATGACCTGGCCGCAGCATGTCTGCCACGTTTTGCCAACCTTCATTGAATGCTTTCACTCATCTTGCTACGGTTCTGTAAGGCAAGGCAGATTCCTCGCAAGCCTCTTGAAGCCCATGATGACACTGTCGTGCTGTACGACCTCTGGCACATTCAATTTTTATTCAACATCATTGTTCTTGTTTTGAAAACATCCTGACAACCCTTACTTTAGACCGCGAGCTAATACAAGGATCCATTCTTCGCGTCACTCCGCATGCGCGTGACGTAGGCAGGACGAGTCTTTTTGCTGAGAAGTAAGTAAGGTAGGTATGTAGTTCACATGTGGTATACACGATATTCTTTGGTTTTGTTGCATAGCGTTTTTTCAGCTGTGTTGCCACTATTAAAGTTCCACCCCTCGTATGTAAGACGTAGAATAGGAGAAGAGCTACATCCTGACTGCATTCAAGCAACTGTGAAGAACCAAGTTAGTGTTATGATTTGGTCATGCATGTCAGCAGATGGTATGGGTCATCGATGGGACACTGAATGCCAGAAAATACATGGACACTATTCTAGAACCAAAACTTCTACCTTCCATCAGATATCTCTTTTCCAACAATGCTTCGTTTATTTTTCAGCAGGATTCTGCTTTTTGCCACACGGCCAAAATA